AACGCCTGGCCATTTTTTGGTTGCAGCCATCACTGTTTGGCGGCCCGGGCTGGATTCGAACCCGCCAGCTCAGGTGTATGTGGCTGGCACCTTAGCCACTTGAGCCACAGGCGCCGAGCCTAAACACGGTTATTCTAATTAAAAGTTATCCGGCAATGTGAAAGCCACCTTTACTTTCTGGTCTGTCTTTTCTGTGATCTTCTGCAACGGAAATGCTTGCAGTCCTTGGGCCAGAGCTGTTATCTACTAAGTTGGCAGGGTTGTAAACATGCGAATATACTTGTTAAGGGGCAAATGGACGATGTTAATGAGGGAAACCGCCACGCTGGCAGACTCTGAAACAGCAACAGGATGCACATGACGGCAGGAGGTCATCCCCACAATGTCAGAAGCCCCGTGGGTCCTATTCCTGCTCTCACACATGCTGTGCCACGCCAATGGACGGCCCCCACCTGCCAAAAGCCTCGGATCTGCTGTGTACCCCCCAGACACAGGCACACTGCGGCCCTCCTAGGGAAGGCCGGCTAAACTCAGAAGGTGGATCGGTGCTTTCACCGAACACCTGTTCCCTCTACTTCACGGTGTGGCCGCGCAGGTGAGTGTGAGAATCTACTCTTCTAACTCTACCCACACCTCCCGCACTGGAAGACCACTCACATCCGTTCCAGCAGCAAGTATTCACTGCCTAGCGCTGCTCTAAAGGCAGGTCTTTTTCCTCCTCCGCAGCCATACTCTCCCTTGTCCCCGCCCCCAAATATCCTTCAGTGGGGACACCCACCGCCTTTGGGAGCGGACAGGGAGGCGCGAAGAAGTCTCCTTTTCCTCTCTTCAGCCGGAGAGAAAGCTGACTTTTCCACCTGAGGCTTCAGCGATCTCACCTGCCCAACAGCCGCTGCGCCTACCTAGGCCGCCACCACAGCCACCAGCTGGCCCCAGAGACCGAGACTCACACCACCACTTCGGCGCTGGCAACCTTTGCCCCGCGCCGGGAGACTGCGCATGCGCAGCTCTGCACGTGGCGTCGAACCGGCTCCCAAATCGCGTCTCCGTGTTTTATGCGAAGTTATAGCCCACGGAGGCGGAGGCCGTCACCAGAAGAGAACGGGGGCGGAGTGTGTTAAGCGTCTATCTCAGCAAATTGTTGAAATCGAAAATTTCAAATAACACATAAAATTTAACATATCAGAAGGACACAGCATCTGCTATTTGGGGCCCACTTAACAGGTATTTACTGAATGAATAAAAATGAAGTCATTGGTTCTAGGAGCTGGGCCCCACCCACTTGGCCAATCATAAAGCGTCTGATTCTGTCACTCAGCACAATTGCCCCGCCCCTCCTTGCGGCTGCCTCGAAAACCAGGAAGAAAAGAATTTGTTGCCAGATTTCTCTGGATCGGGTTGGAGAGTGGACATGCGCAGTGAGGGCTAGTTGGCCACGCCTAATCCGTGGCCCTTCATCATTCCTGTGAGGAGGTAATGGGGACGTTGGAAGCTCTATAACTACTTTTCCTAAATTAGGTAACTTCTGCGGTATCTCCTCATGTTGCTTTTTGGTGCGAGGACAAAACAGTTATTGTCCAGTAACATTCAAAGATTTGTGAAGGAAGTTATGTTTAAACATTGTTATTATAATTAAAAGTTATCCGGCAATGTTAAAATCACCTTTACTTTCCGGTCCATCTTTTCTGTAATCTTCTGCAACGGAAATACTTGCCATCCTTGGGCCCGTAATTTTTCAGTGTCAAGAAAACACCATAGAAATGGGTTTTGAATGTCACTTCAGCTGTCTGGCGTAGTGGGTAAGCATGATTCGTCATCTGCCAATCACATTCATGGCTTTCTCGGAAGTTAAGTAGCCTACCTCTGCCGCCATGTTTGTTATGGGCCTTCCTTGAAAGCAGTGCCATTAGCACGGCGGCCATTTTTCTTTTGGGCAGATTATTTGCTCTGCTGCTGGTCTTTAGTGTTTTACCGCCATCTTGACTCCTGGTTTAGGCTTCAAGCTGACGCGAAGCTTCGCAAATCATCTTGTGTTTGGGCGGTGGCTGCGTTCTCAACCGCGCGGGAGACCCTGGGAAAGGGGAAGTAAGCGTGAAACGTGAACCTCAAGCCTTCTGAGGTTGGCTGGGGCGCCTGATGCGTGTTTAGTTGAATTTCCACAGCCTAGGTACTGCTCTACAAGTGACCCTGGACAGTAACAAAACATACAAAAGCACGAACCCAAACCCCGCTACCAGCATAGGTAAGAACGTGGACCGTCTAGCAACCTAAGATGTTCCTTCACTTGAACTATTCGCCCATCTCTTCCCTCCCTTTTTTTTTTTTGCTTTGATTTTTGACTTTTTCTGAATTTTTTCTGCATGTCACCTCTCTTGTTTTAAAAATGCTAAAAAGGTTGTTAAACATCAGAGTTTAGAAACCTGGGCTTTGAAGTGGAATTTTTTTTTTTTTTTTTAGGACAAAATGGAATTAAATGGATGGTCCAAATATTTCGATTAAAATATGGCTGCTTGCATACATATATATAAATATAATCCCGTTTCTAGGTATTTTGGGGATATGACATAAGTACAGATTATGTTTGTATAAACTTCTTATTCATTCATATGTGCAGTGCATTTATGGAGTACCTAACTTGTGCTAGGCTGTAAAATTCAGCAGTTAAAAAAACTCTTTGTCTCATGGAGCTAGGCTGGAACAAATAACGGAGTAGTCTATGATTTTTAGCACTGTTAGACTGTTCAAACAAATACAGTGTTTGCTTTTTTCTTTCATTAACTCCCCTTTAAAAATTTTTTTTTGCCTAGGTATGAATTGTATTGACACTTCTTGGATTCTAGACTTATTTGTAAGCCAACTGGCTAATATTGCAAGTAATACTCCAGTGACTTAGGACCTAGTTGCTCAAAAAGTGTGGGCCACCTACCAGCAGCAGCAGGCTGGGAGCTTGTTAGAAGTTCAATCTCAGGCTTCATCCCAGTGCTGCTAAATAAAAATTTCCCTCAAAAAGTACACCTTGATGGGCGGTGCCTGTGGCTCAAAGGAGTAGGGCTCCGACCCCATGTGCTGGAGGTGGCAGGTTCAAAACCAACCCTGGCCAAAAACTACCAAAAAAAAAAAAAAAGGAAAAAAAAGTACACCTTGAGGTTCAGGGAGTACTGATTAAGTGCATGGGCTAAATGCTTACCTTTTTTCAACTTGTGCTTCTTAACCAGTTCACGATATATTATCAGTGTATTACATGTTTCAAATGTGGCAGATATTTGGCATGTTTTTCTGTGCTTTCAGTTCATTGAGCTTGATGTCATGATGCCAAGTGAATATTCCAAAAACTTGGAAGATTTTTTTTCTTTCCAGTATAGTTATGTGTAACTTCTATTATGATATTATCCAAAATGTAGAGTTTCTTAATATCTGATTTACCACTGGTTTGTATTTTAAAAAAAAAAAAGTTGTTTACTATTCTTTTTTTTCATATTCTGCTCTGTTGCCCAGACTAGGGTATAGTGGTGTCATTATAGCTCACTGCAACCTCAAACTCCTGAGCTCAAGAGATGTCTCCTGCCTCAGCCTCCCGAGCTGGGACTATAGTCATGGGCCACCACGATCAGCTAAGTTTTGTTTTGAAAAGATGGGGGTCTTGCTGTTGTCCCGGCTGGTCTTAACTCCTGATTTCAAATGATAGTCTTGCCTTGGTCTTTCAGAGTGTTAGGATTACAGGCATGAGCCACCATACCAGGCCTACTTCTAATTTATTCAAAGTTGATTTCTTGGGAGGCTGAGACAAGAGGATTGCTTGAGCCCAAGAGTTTGAGGTTGCCATAAGCTAAGAAGCCACAGCACTCTACCAAGGGTAACCAAGTGAGACTCTGTCCCCCCCCCCAAAAAAAAGTTGAGCTCAAAAGTTTACATCTGTTCAAACTTTAAATGGGTAAGCAGAAAATATAAACAACAAAAAAGTTTACATCTGAGCTGGACATGGTAGCTCATGCCTGTGCTATATAATCCCAAAACTCCAGGGGTGACCCGTATTTCTAGAGAGAGACCCTCTGGATGGAATTGAGTCAGTAAGAAATATGAGAGATCAGAAATGACATTTACATTTTTCATGTTGCTGTATATTTTCTCTCTCTTATGGTATTGCTTAAAATAATTAGTAGTTTGAGGTAATGAAGAGAATTGAATTGGGCATGTAGTGAACCAGTAACTGATTAAGTTGGGATTTATTTGTTTTGGGTCCTAACCAAGTTTTCCAGCCTTTCTGCCGTTCTTTCCCCCATCTCCTTACAAGCTGTGCGACTTTGAACAGATTACTTAACCCTTTGGTGCCTCAGCGTCCTCATCTGTAATGTAAGGTTGATGAGAGAACTAGTAAAGTTAAAATAAGAAGAGTGCTTATAATAGTGCCTGGCACATAGTTGCAGCTATGCAAATATTAATTGACTGTGGTTATTTTTATTACAGTGAAATCTTTGGGTTTTGAGGTATTCATACATTTATAACACCCAGAGAAAGGTTTTTTAGTTTATTTTATGACTTTTCAAGATGGGCACCTGTTTGGAAAAGAAGAGGGTCTAGACACAACGTACCAGGACATAAAGATGCTTTTTTTTTTTTTTTTTGAGACAGAGTCTCAAGCTGTTGCCCTGGGTAGAGTGCCATGGTGTCACAGCTCACAGCAACCTCTAACTCTCGGGTTTAAGCGATTGTCTTGCCTCAGCCTCCCAAATTGCTGGGACTGTAGGGACCCACCACAATGCCTGGCTAATTTTTTGGGGGGTGGGGCTTGTAGATGTCATTGTTGTTCGGTGGCCCAGGCCAGATTTGAACTCGCCAGCTCTGGTGTACATGGCTGGCACCCTAGCAGGTGAGCTACAGGTGCTGAGCTGAAGATGCTTTTTTAAAAAGTTTTTTTATTTTTAAACAGCTTTATTGATATATAATTGTCTGACATATCACTATAGATAAGTTCACATTTCCTAGGTCTTTAACTGGAGTCTTGCATTGCATGCTTTTATGCAGGAATGTGGCTTTTTCCCTTGCCATAATTATTTTGAGAGTTTTCTTATTTATTTTTGAGAGTATCAACAGTTCACTCTTTTTAATTGCTGAGTAGTGTTCCTTTGTGTGTCTCTACTGTAATTTATGGATGGACATTTGGGTTTTTATTATATTTTCACATTGTTGTATTCTTTGGTTTATTTGAACTGGGAAAAAAATCTAATTACTGGTTCGTGGTGGCCAAGCCTTCTACATACAGTAAAACCAAGGGATGACAGTCATAAAGTATGTTTGTACTGGATTTTCACCTTTGCTGTTATTTAGTTTATGAATTAATGTTTTAGGAATGAAACATGTTATGACTTAAAAAATTGCAAAATACATGCGCTGATTTTTAAGTGGATTGTTATGTCTTGATGTCCAATCATTTTAAGTTGTATTAAAATGTGTTACTATTTATGTATTAATTTTCAGAGATTGAAAATTATAGTTCATGTACTTTAAGAAATCTACTGTGTATTTACTTTTTTTTTTTTTTTTTGAGACAGTCTCACTTTTGGTAGAGTCCTGTGGTGTCATAGCTCATAGCAACCTCAAACTCTTGGGCTCAAGTGATCCTCTTGTCTCAGCCTCCTGAGTAGCTGGGACTACAGGCACCTGCCGTGATGCCCAGCTAGTTTTTTCTGTTTTTGGTAGAGTTGGGTCTCACTGTTGCTCAAGCTGTTCTCAAAGTCCTGAACTCAAGTAATCTACCTGCCTCAGCCTTCCAGAGTGTTGGAATTACAGGTGTGAGCCACATGCCCAGCCAAGAAATCTACTCTTTATATATCAAAGTAGAGATCCATAAGGCCAAACCTAAAATGTCATAAAACTCCCTTTTGTCAGTAGATGGAAGAATATTACTTACATTTTGAATTGATGTAATTGTATTTCTGAAGTCTTTTTTGCTTTAAGGAAATAAACTCATGTTTATTATAGTAGTGATATTTTGTGCTTTAATAAATTAGAGCTGGTTTAAAATTGGATTTAACTTATGTTAATTATAAGATAATATATAGAACATGGCTGTTAAAATTTTTTATACATAAAAATTCATTGGTGTCACTGTTTTGTTTTATCCTCTATTTAGAACTTTTTTCCTATGGTAAAGGTGACTGGAAAGCAATAGGTACCAGAGGAAGTCTTGGGTTATTACAAAGTGGATTGATTATCTTGTGTCTGTACGTGCCTCTGTGTTTATATGATTCTGTTTAGCAGACTGAGCACCCATTGTGTATCCAGTACCCAGTAATTACCTGTCTGGATTGGATCCGTGAGATAGAAACTGTTGTTACTATTCCATTTTATAGACAGGGAAAACAGAGATTGGCCAGGAATGGTGGAAGCCGCATACCTGTAATCCCAACACTGTAGGAAGCCAAGGCAAGATAATTGCTCAAGCCCAAGAATTCAAGACCAACCTAGGTATCATGGTGAGACCCTATCTCTACAAAAAATTAAAATAAAAAATTAGCCAGATGTGTTGGCGTATGCCGGTAGTCCTAGTTATTTGGGAGCCTGAGGCAGGAGGATGGGCCACTGCACTCCAGCTTGGATGGCAGAGCAGGACCTGTCTCAGAGAAGAAACATAAAAGAAGAAAAGGAGAGACTTAAAGGAGTGACTGGCCTGTTGCGTGACGAGGCAGAATGTGAAGGGATGTGTTTTACTGGAGCCTGAGAAGTGATTGCATCAGGTGTGAGTGCCTATGTCTGCTTCTGATTGATATTAAATAAAAATTAGATGTTGCGATGGCTCAAGAAATCGGAGGGAATTAATTTAATACTGTGTATTGATGGCACTAAAAAAGTCATCTCTCTCACTGGAATCCAGTGAGAGTGACTGAGGAGTTGCCAACATTTGCCTTTCTCAAGAGGGAACCATCTTCAACAAACAAGGCAGCCTGAGAGGGAGGAGAAGATTGTGGTTGACACTTCAGATTCTGATGCCTCCTATCCTCCATCACTAGTTGAAAGATTAGTGAAAGATTCACTGCCTATCCTGAACACAGCTGAAACTGTCACACAAACAGAGCCAGGCAGAGTAGTAAGCAGTCAAAGTAAGGATGCAGTGGTATATATTCCCCTGGCTGAGAGGCCTACATATAAGTTTTTGACCCATAAGCTTCTAGCTACCTACTTAAAAGTGTTTTGGACCATCAAAATAATGAAGGAGTGGGTGGCACCTGTGGCTCAGTGAGTAGG